GTTGCACAAAAGAAAAAAAACTAAGAAAAAACACATTCCGCCCATTCTACATTATCATCGCGTCATTGAAATGCCACGTGCCTCTGTGGTTCTGCCGTTCTGAATGCTGTGCAGAGATTTTCGTGAAATAACAAATGTAGAAGACGAGGCCCTCTGCTGCCAAGCGGCCTGCGTGAGGACGGTGCCCATAACGTGGGAATGTTACCGTGGCTCCGAGATGGAATTTTCACAGCCGAGTGGCCCTCTGGACTAAATTCAGCAACTTGGAAGTCCATAATTACGTGGTGCAATATGAATTGAAACATTTAATTCGGCGAAGCGGTGATATTTTTTTTATTCAAATGCAAACCAAACGCGAATTCTAAAATTAATTCATGGCTAATTTGCTACACTCTCTTAACTTCGCCTTGCATATCATTGTTGTGCATTAGCAAGCATGAAAATTTAACGACATCGTAAGGTAGGGAGGGGGTGGGGTTATTTTGCCAAGTGAAAGGTTGCAGTGCTTCAGTCGCGATCCTATTTTCTCGAACATCAACTGCGTTGCATTATTCTGGTTACGGCACTGCGAGCGTTACTGGATTCATGTTTCATGGTCAGCGCACACATTTGCGCTCTCAGAGTCGACTGATATATCTCAAATGTAACTCCCAAAAAAATATTAACCTGTCATGCTGAAACTTGACACCTAAAATCAAGTGATCATCGTGGACGGTGCCGGTGGCTACATCGTGAGCAGCAGAGGGAATTTCAGCAAAATCAATTGTTGTACCTTATTTCTATGCTCTCATGACTTTGCTGCCTGCCATTGCCAACCCACACTGACCAGCATGGTGAAGTATGGTCAAATAACCTCCACGATCTGCACGGCATGATGATGCCATCATTCAGCAGTGGATTACCAAAGAGATGCTTCATGCACACAGTGCATGTCAAACGGTGTCACATAATTGTTGTTTGCAGTAACATTATTAAAGTAATTTGTTGACCTCACAGTGTATGCTTCACAGTGTATAAGTGTTGACAGTGACACTGATACGTCTAATATATGGATTGTCGTGAGGGAGTCACTGAGTGATGTAAATTCTAATGCTATTATAGATGGAATAGAACGCTAAATGTGGTCCACATCTCTACATACAAACATAGCCGTGTTTATGCCTCCAAAATTAAAATGGCAATTTTTTGGGAATAATTTAGTATTTCAACGTAGCCCTGCAAAGGTGTGCAGCTGAAGGTTTTGAAGGTTTCTAAGAGTGTGATGCTAAAGCCAATAGAAAGCAGGCGAAGCTGACTACCATTGATATGACAGAATAATACAAACAGAGATGTAGCCCTGACACTGCTCGCTTATGCCACTGCTGGTGGTGGTGGATCTTTAGAGAGCTCTTCTTGAGGGTATTTGGCCTAATCTTCCACCGTTGGCCAGTAACAGTACCAAACTCTCACCAACATTGACTCGTTGAAGTGTTTCTGTAAGAGACTTCTTGATCCACTATTCATATGGTTTATGATGAAGACATTGGTTTGTTGCATGTACAAATACATGAGTGTGTACAAATCTGCACACTGCTCCTTTATGTATTAGGTGGGGACCAGTAAAGTTTCTGATATTTCTAAATAGCCACGGAGTCATATTTGATATTTTGCCTTAGTCAACTGCAAGCATGGCTTCAGTGTCATTGGAAATTTCTTTTGGCTCGAAATTAACATGTAGCCTATTTAATGGTTCGCTGAACCTTCATTATTAAAGTCTGAAAAACAGTTGTGCCTTGGGAATTCCAGGAACTTTGCTTGAAATAATCTGTCTGTGTGGAGTAAACACCTCAAAACCAAACTTTAGTTTTACAATTCGCTGACAACATAGTTTGTGTTCTGCTGTTGATTTTGTACTTAAAAATCCACGGAACTAAATATGCTTGATAAGTGCCCAAACTGGAGTTTTTCTGTTTGCTTAGCCAGGACTTGAATGTTAAAATGTATTGTTTTATATTTGAGGAAAAATTATTAACTTATTTACAGCATCTAATTGACACTTTGGTGCTGGATGCATCTGAGCGAATGATGTATATTATTCGCTTAATTTGCCTAAAGTTTAGCTCTGATAATTAAAACTATCGGTTTGACTGTCTTGCAATGATCGTTACTCTCATATACAGAGAGTGTGGGAAAGTGCTGCCCTCGATTGTGTGGACCAGAGGTCACTGAATGGAATTCAAAGGTAGCTCTGTAATATCCCCTTCCGTGAGCAGTTCTCTAACATGGAGGGTTGAGCTGCTCTGTGAGAGGTCCAATGCTCGAGACATCACTCCAATATTGAGATATTTTATTCGTGTAAATGTTCAGTAAATAATTTGTCTGATTCTATCCCAACAACTGCTTCCGCTACTTGATTTGATGCTGTCCAGTTAACCCATCTGGTCCTGCATTATTGTATCAAAGAATCGTAATGGATGGGGACAGTTTCGGGAGTCCTTTAATCCAGCAGTAGAAAAATCGTGGCTGTAAAGATAATGATAACCATGGCATCTATTTTTTTGCCATTCTTTTTTTTTAGATACATGATGGCAGTGCCTTATCACTTAATTTCAGGTGTTGTCTTCCATGGTCCCCAGCATTGCCCTTTTGCTGCTGCTGATGCATGCGCGTGCTCGGGCGGCTGATGGAGCTTCTCGAATTTGACCGCCTCTGTCCCCCGCTTATCTCGCCGAGTAACACGAGGCATCATACCGTCGTCTGAATTTTGTTTCGTCAATGCGACGTCGGGTGACTTTGGACCTTTCCTCATCATTATCTCATGAATATCAGGGGGTATATACTAAGGTCCAAGCAGTTTTTGCTCTCCTTTGTCTTGGCCGTCTTTTTTAATCTATCAATGAGGTGGTTCTGACGCAGTCCTCGATCATCATTAGTTTTTTGCTGAAAGCAGCATTTTTTTGTTATCATACATGTAGCAAACGTGGTAGTTTCTCTGCAGCTCGGGTGCCTTTGTGATGGAATGAAGACATAATAAGCTGCATTGTCACCTTGCAGCCAAACCGCTGCAGGAGTGACCCCCATTATGACAGAGCCACCACCTGCGTCGAGGATTACACGATGAAGGAAACCCTCAATTACCCGTGGACATTTTTGGCTCGCTCGGCTCTCCTGGCGATGCAACATAGACACAGTGCCTCAATCCGAACTATGTTTTTTCGCGATGCACATTTAACAGCGCTACGTGCCACTGTAGTTTTGTAAAACAAAAAATATTATTACAGAAGAAGTCTTGCAATCTTCACGGGGATGCTGCCGTGGTGCAAACGGTTAGCACACGGGACGTGCAATCCAGAGGTCACTGATTCGATTTTATCTCCCGGTGCAGCAGTTGCAACGGTGGGCACGTTTCAACAATGCCACCCTGTCCACCCGGCAGTAGAAATGGGTGTCGATTGGCAGGTCGCGGATGGTGGGGTAGAGTGTGCGTACTCCCACCTCTTCCGAGACATCTGGCCTGCGTGGTGGAGCAGACACAATACACTCCAGTGTGGAGCTCTGTAGAGCTACCCCCATCACCCACTCCCCACGAGTGGAGACTCATCGACCAACAGTGGCATGAGCAAGAAAATTGCCAATTGCCGGGCTGCGTCTTCGCCCTTTTCGCCTTTTATTCTCGCCGTCCAGCTCTGTGCTCACGCTCACAGGTGGTCTTCTTATCTCACTGGTTTTTTGTTATTTTTTGGCGATAGATGCTTTTTGTTTACTACTTTATTGCGTTGAGGTATGCGCGGGGGAATTTATTTTTTTACTGTCCGCAAGTAAATGTGTACGTGTGCGGCTAATGCCTGTGAACAAACTAACAAAAACAATTGCACCTTCGGGGGAAACGCGCATCGCCTCCCTATAAACGCCACGCATTTGAACGGTGGAGCAGCATCTGGGTGCCGCATGCGTGCGGCTTGCCGTATCAATGCGATGCCAGTCTGTGTATTATTTTTCAAAAACAAACATCATTGTCATTTAATCACGCTCGAGATGCATGATTTATGCATAGATGTTGTGTAGAAAATTGCTTTCTTTTACCAGACGTGGGTCATTAACCTCAGTTTTAATGACGAATTAATGTGATTACTCCATTAGACAAAGTGATGAAGCTCATGGTTCCACCCAAAGTGATTTAATGTCATTTTAAGGTAAAAAAGCAAAAGGCTTTACTCGTGCATAAATCATGACATCTTAGAATTGATCGCATCTGATGTATGGTGTCTTCCTGCCACGTTTTAAAAAATAATATCAATTGACAACTTGGGAGCAATGACATGACCTTTTTTAACAGTACATTTTGCACGTGATATATTCGTAAGCTTGCACCTTTTTGACGGATTGGGTGTACAAAAATATACATTTGTCAGAAAGCCAAGGTTTATTTATGTATTTACGCCTATGTCATTAGGCTTTATCCACAATTGACCTTCAACAAAGGCATCGTCATTCATTTTGTGACAGTTCGGCTGATATGCTTTGTGGATGCAAAAGTAAATGATTTTAACTGCATTGATTCGCGTGACCCGTTTGACCCACACACATCTGCCGTGTTTCCAACACGCGGTGCCACGTTCGGCATTTTGCGATGGCAGCCTCTGGGAGCTGCGACACTCCGAACGATATTCTACAAACAATTTGTGAAGGTGACATCGATGGCGGCGACGTGCCCGCTGATCGATTGACTTTTTAAGTGACCGCCTGCATTACTCTTTCATGCAGATGCATTGTCGGAGAGCCCTCACCGATTGGCTTGCCTTGGCAAATTATACAAGCAGGTTCTGGGCCACATGCCGACTGCACGTTTGAAGGGTGGTAGTTCGCGATCGGCAACCTATCGTCATTCCAGCTTTCAGCTACCTTGGACAACGCGATGAGATGCAAAGGGAGTGTTGCCTAACCCTTCCCCCCCCGACTATCCCTTCACCTCCACCCCCCCTCTGGCCTGCCTCTCCTCCCCCGTCCGTTTGCGATTACAGAGGCGTCGATCCTGAGCTACGACGGCTCCATGTTCATGAAGGTGGTGATGCCGGTGGTGATCCACACGGAGGCGGAGGACGTGACGCTGCGCTTCGTGTCGCAGCGCGCCTACGGCCTGCTGCTGGCCACGACGTCGCGCGACTCGGCGGACACGCTGAGGCTGGAGCTGGACAGCGCCCGCGTGAAGCTCACCATCAATCTAGGTATGGCGATCAAACCCTCGCTCATCGCCATAATAAGCGCCCCGTCAACCGTCGTCGGCAGGGGCGGTCAACATCCGTGGAAGCACTAAATTTGTTTGAATGCGATGTTCGGTTGATTTGTCTTTAAAATGTAAATGCTGTGGGAGGAAACAAAAACGTGTTTAGAATGATTGGCTAATTTACAACCTGGCGGTTTTATTTTTGCCAAAATGTAAGAAAAAAAATGTTGCTAAACGAATTCAGTGCATCCAATGATTTCCCCTTGGTCATTGGTTAAATCCCTCCCTCTGGATACATTTTGACATTCTCATTTTCACAACACGGTCTCCTATTTCTGTCCTCTGTTTTGTTTACATGCATCTATTTGTGATTCGTTCTTTTATTTATCTCTCTATCTGTGTACTGTCTTCAATCGGATACACACAAAAACCATTATATGGCATTTTGATAAATCGGTATTATGATTTGTGAGTTGATTCAAGCAGAAAAATAATGCATTTTCTTTTTGCATGGCATTTTCAAAATTACTCGCTTCGTTGCTTATGTGCAGATAATTTTCATTCCAGTGATGTGAGTGCTTTGCTTGTTCATGCATTCTATCACTCTCATCTTTTTTTCCCCATGAGTGCATTTCAATGCCAGAAAGGGGGAAAAATTTAACGTGTAAAGTTTCACTTCGCTTTGGGAAAATGGCTCGTTGTTATTTTTGCTCATTAAATATTCCATAACGACATAACAAATTACATCTCGGTATTCCTGATTGAGTTGTCATCTTGAATTGAAAAGAATGTTGTTCACAATTTGCATGTGTCTTCCTTATTTACGTATGTATGATTTTCCCCTGCCAGATATCTGCAAACTATTTTGAATTATTGATGCTTCACTTAAACATCTCTCGTCACCTTCAATTGAATATATACGTTTGTTTCTTTTATTTCATGCCACCTCTGCCATTTTCAAATGTAATCACATCTCGGCGGCGTTTTCTCTCTCCAGAATTGTGTCCGTTTCTTCGAACCATCAGTAACGTTTCATGCATCAACTCACACGAAAGTCCCCCTCCCCATCCTCTTGCTTTCTGGTATATCCCTTCAAAGGCCAAAGCCTGCGACCCTGAGCAGACAGCCATGGAACAACAGACTAAACGGTGCTGGCAGATGAAACGCGTAGCTTGTAGCAGAAGAAGCTCTCTTCGCTGAGCAAGAGAATGTCCGTGGCTACCCGTGGGTGGGACAACAGCAACTGTAGTGATGTAGTGGAGAAAAAAACATCTCAATCTACGCAGTGTTTTTCATTCATTTAAGAATAAATAATTAAAGTCTACTTGCTTATAACATTTTAATAATGCTTTGATTGAATGAGCATTACTGTTGCTAATGCAAGAGTAAATGCATGTATGATTTGTTTTCGTAATAGCTGCTTTTATGGTTCAATATTTACTTTTATTGCAACTTGGTGGTATCGTTAAGATCGTAAATCAATTGTAAATTACAGAGGCAATATTTTCTGTAATAAACTTCAATTAATTTCGGCTAGCTTATGTTAAATAGTAATTTTTAATTGAGCTTAGGAATTGATAGGGTTTTTTTGCACGGTAAGCGGTAGTCTTTTCTTTGCTTCGCATGTTTGCATTTATTATAAAAATTTAATATACATTGAGCACTAGTTATAGAATGCAAGAGTCATAAAAAAAATTGTATTAAAGAATGTATAATGTAATTGTAATATACTTAGTGGGAAAACTAGACGTTTTTTTTATTTTTTATAAGTTGATACTTTAGATGTATTGCAAGACTAGTGACTTCACTCACTTCAACCGTGTAAAAAAAGACGTCTTTCAGTTAAATACGATGAAATAATAATGTAACGCGAATGCTAATCTCACGGGTTTGACTTGCAAAATGTAGAGCGAGGGTCAGTTAGCACTCACTGCCTGCCACCAGTTGCTCCATGACTGTTTGCACCGCCTTTTCTGTTGTGGTTGACGACACATGTCAAAGCAGGCCGCGTGATAACCTAACCTGGGTCAGATTTATGTCACTCTTTAGAGGAGGCACTAAGTCATAGAATCATAATAATCACAATATATTTAGGTGGACTAATGTTAAAAAAAAATTACTGCTTATCGCAGACTGCGTTAACGCTTCAAGAAACGGACAACGTATTTGAGTCGATATATTTTGCAATATCTCAAACCACATAGGTATTTATACTGTGTGTATCACCTATGAACACACATAACGTATATAAAAGAAGAGGTACGGTAGTTATAAGTACGACGGCAACGTTGGAGAGATGAATTAGCAATCACGAATAAACACAATATGCCTATTTAGCAATTTACTGTAGGAAGCAAATAATAAGAGAGGCAAATGAATGGGTAAAAAAAAAATCGCTATTTTAATTTGGCTGTAAACATTAAACGCCCGAGAGATGCTTTCATTATTTACCAAATATAATTGCGCTTATTAAACAGCTTTTATGCTTATATGCCCCCCCGGAAGAAAAAACCCATCAGCTTTTATCACAATATGACAGAATACATGGTGCTTTGTAGTCATGCTAGCATTATGCCAGGGCATGAGTGACATACCTAAGTTAATTTGATTACAGCTATTCTAGTCATATATATAAAGGGTGCCCAGGTTAAGCTATTACGCGGCGTATGTTTGTAAGTGGCCATTTTTAACCGAGCTAAAAATTAATGTCTATTTCTTAAGAGTTAACAATAAATGATCTAAACAATAACAACAAAAATAAGCTGACTTTTGTATTCATGCTTAAAATATGTTTTTTTTTTTATAACAGTTACACTTTTATTAATTAAACTTTAATTGTGTGCTGTACAACTCCTGGTTGAGTAATTGTTTGCTCAGGGCGTTTTATTGTAACTAGTGTAATTAAAATGGCCACATTTTTTGCGTGTGTCTGTCCCCGGAAGGGTGGCCTGCATTTTTATTGGATGTCTGCAGCAGTTACCTTGAAGGATGTAACTTCATATTTCACATTCTCTCCCCCATCTAGATTGTGTCAGGATAAAGTGTAACTCCAGTAAGTTGCTATTCAACGTTTTTTTCCCACTCTTTGTCCCCCTTGTATCGTTACTTATAATCACACTTAATATTCAAAAATGTCAGTTATCTTATTCTGGGCTTTACATTGGTAACTGGAATTGCAAAAGGTAACTGTTAATTAAAGGTGAGAAAAAACTACTTAAAAAAATTATTCCAACATTAATTTGCATGTCTATTTTCTTGCGTTGGTTACTACGATACAGTAACGGACGTTTTTAAAATGCATGTTCCTGAAACAAACTGTATCGGTCTATACTTTGTGCATGTGGTGTTTGTTTTTACAGAACCAATTGTAAGTATAATTATTGTTCCGTTTTTTGTTAAAATGTTTTGCGAATGTTGAACTTTTGACGGTGTATTTTCGACGTTTTCGCAAATAGTACTGCAGTTTAATGTTGCATACACATATATGTTAACATTCTAAGACATTTTCTTTAAAAAAAACAGAGAATTTCAAATACATAACTACGGTGTGTGTCAAATTTTGATTTAAAGCTTTCGTGACTGCAGGGATTCATATTCTTGGTTATTTCGGTAAAGTCACGTAGAAGGGAAATAATAAAATAATAAAAATATCAAACAATTAAATTCTCACGACGTTACGACTACAACACAAGCAGTCAAAACGTCGTGATAATTCTATTGTTTTTTATTTTAATAATTTTATTATTTCCCTTCTACGTGACTTTACCGAAAGAACCAAGAATGTGTGTGTGTGTGTATATATATACCTAGTTTCGACATATATAGTAATTTCTGTATATAAGCCGCCATAAGCAACAACCGAAATTCATGGGGAGGCCCCTCATCCAGTGCTTGGTGGATTGACAGAAGGCTGCATTGTATTATTATAATCATCATCAAAGGAAATTTCTAATCTTCAGTGTAAAGAAATATGATGAAATAATCAATTATGGTTGAGATATTGTTTGCAAAACATCATATCATTACAGATTTTGAGTCGTGACTTTCACAGGTGGCAGGGTGTATAGTGCAGATGTTAACTTCAGCACAACACAATAATCATTCAAGTTGAGAAAATTAAAAGTACCACATTCGGTATTAATGTAGTTTAATGTATACGTTGTCATTACAGAAGGGAATCCATAAAAAATACTCTCGGATAGGACCCATGTGGGACAAGTGTTATAAAATAAGGTGTAAAGTTTCTTAAACTTACTTCTGTGTACATGTCATAATTTACCGAATTAGCACAGCCTTACGATGTTGTAAACATATTTGAAACGCGTTAAAGTGCAAACATTGTGGGAGTTGTTCAACTGTGATCACAGCATCAGGCACAAGCTAACATCTCGCTAATCATTCAACATAGCGCGTGGGTTTTCACAGCCTTCGTAATCAAAGTCTGGTTTTTCCTCCGAGGAAGCAGATTGAAGAAATATTATCTTAAGCTCTCGCCATTCACTAATGTGGGCATCACGTTCCCTTCAAAAGCATTCAACCGCTCAAGATGCCCACACGTGACCTAACCCTGAGCACTTAATTTGTATGATTCCACAATCTATTATATTCTTGCGCATGATGACAATATGTTCAGGAGCCAAAATGCCAATGTCAAGGTCTGGTAGCCATGACAGGGCTTCAGGAGAAAGTCTGTTTAGTTTTGCCCTTCCTACATTGAACAAGAGGGCAGACTACATTGGTGTACTTTATGGTCCATAGCTTGGGTTGCAAGGCCACAGCTGCCCTGTGGCTTGTCTTTAATGTTCTATTCATGACGGAGCTTTGTGCAACAACCTGTTGATGTTCTAATGCGGTTGATTGTTACACCAGTGTCTCCGAGGCACCTCAAAGCCAGGAAGTGTGATGTTTAGGTCTCGATCGAGGCATTAATTATCGGCGTCCGCGTTGTTCCACTTTTTTCGCCAGCGTTCTTCCGGATCTGGATGAGATTTTAGGATGGTGACAGCGTGATCCCAGAAGGGGAATGGAGGATTTGAGTCAGTGGGGGAGTTACATTGTTGACGTCTTGGTTGATTGGGAAGAGGATTGTGGTTGGCAAGAAACACTTGTAATCTCCCGTGCAGTTTGAATGTTCTGCGGATATTTGGTGTTCACCAGAACAGCGAGACGAAGGGGTTGGTGTCGGTTTCAGTCTTCCAGTTATGATGTGCATCGCGTTATTTAATTGTACAGTTAGCAGTTTTGTGTACGAGGTCCCCGACCAGACTGGAGCACAATACTTTGCTACTGAGTAGATCAGTGATCAGGGTAGTAGATACCAGGACATCAGCTGGGGTGCCCTAAGCTGTTCTTGCGAGTCTTTTTTTCAGCAGGGCGATTCTTGATTTGGTCTTTTCACAGATGTGTTTTATGTGGGGCTTGAAGGTCACGCTTATGTTCACGATAACTCCTAGATCTCTTGCAGTGGGGTCATAGCACACTGGGCTACCACAGAAGGAAGACACATCAAGCGTGGCATCTGCTCATTGATTGTTCAGGTGGAAAGTGGTTGTGGTGGTTTTGGATGGCCTTGTTTGGAGTTTCCAGCATTTACAGTATTGGCAATGTTATTGAGTGTTGTGCCATGTGCAGCAAAGTATATATCTTCTGCATCTGCGAGATCATGGTGATGATATCATCTCACACCTCCAATTAGCACGGTTAGCTACGTACGGTATGAAAGAAGTTCAACATACAGTACATGCATACAATGTGCATGGCAAGTCTTTTTTATGTATGTGAAATAGTGATGCTGCTATATTTGTATTTACCAGGCAACAAGGTCCACTGAGTTGTATAGCACTTTATTCAGAAGCAACCTGGCCATAAATGATAACTCAATGAAGTGGCTTATCAAGTGCAAATGTATAGCAGCCAAATGTTTCTAAATGTGACTATGGGGAGAACATGAAAACTCCAAATATACAGGCGTCAGCGTCGGGATCGAACCCATGACCTCCTGCATACCAGGCGAGGGAGTTAACATGTCGCCACCGCGATGCCAATGCTAGTTACAAGCCTTGAGGGAGGCCATTGTACCTAATTCATTTGTGGCTGTGTTTGCTGGTAAGCCGTGCCCTGAGAGTGCAGTTGTTGAGCATCGGTCGATTAGGTGTACAGTAGAAGGGCATCTGATGATTTTGGCCAACTTCAGCAGCAGCCCATGACGCCAAACATAAGCAGCAGAGAGAGGTCAATCATTGCCCTGCCAGTTTTCTGTTGACGCTGAAGGTAACGATCTGTTCACAGCAGCTACGGCCAATTCGAAATCCGGCTCGTTCGGGAGGCAGTTGGGGGTCGAAAATGGGGGTAAATTGTGGCAAGCGTGGCACACTCCATCAACTTGGAGGTGGAGGACAAGAGGGGTATTGGCCTGTATGTATGTACGCATGATTGGATTTCTTTTCGCATCGTACGTAACCAACCGTGCTAATAAGAGACGCAGCTGTAGTTGCACTCTTGTGACTTGCTGGGTTTCAGAATGACAATGACTTTGGTTTGCGTCCATTCTTTCAAGATTTTGCCTGTCGTGTGTTCTAGAGTGAAGATGTTTGCTAGTGGATGTTGTCCGTATAGTCCCAGTTTCATAGGAACTCAGGAAACAGGCCATCATATCCCGGTGCCTTGTCGGACTTTGTGACCCTGAGGGCTGCTTCTACTTACATTTTTTGTGTGTTTAGTTTGTTGTCTTTCCCCCACACCTCCGATTAACACGGTTGACTGCGTACCTGCAAAATAATTACAGCGCACATACGTAGGTGCATACTTTCGCGACGGTGTATGGTTTTGTTAGATCTGTTGCTGGCAATAGTTTACTCATGGTGACGTCGAGTTGTTTCCGGACAGCTTGTTTGGTAAGCTTCTCAATTGGTGCCTTAGAACACGACAGCGTGTGCGAAGCCACAGCGTTCACTGTGTTGGTTTTGAGGCACCGAGGTTCCGCAGGCACTGTCAGGCTCCACGGCTTGAGTGAGTGAAGTCCAATTCTGCAGTGACGTCCTCGCAATGTTTTATTCGTGCGGAGTTCGTGGACTTCGGCAGTGCAGTGCCCTTATCTTGGTTTCCAGTTCTGATTAACTTTTTTGTAAGAGTTCTGTTTCTGGTTGCCAACATGGCATACAACTTTTTCGATACCCCCTCTGGATGTTGTCTTTTTTTGGCAGGTGTCAGAATTTTGATGAATTTATCTACGTTTTCAGGGCTTTGGCTCCTGCTTCTTCAATTGGGTTTTGGTTTATTTTTCCTCGCCGGGCCATTTGGCCTTCCGAATGATCCAATGTGGCCCTGAAGTTTGAGGTTATGACCGATATGTGCGGTGACAGCCGGTCTGCATTGGCTCTTTGGGAAATTGCCAATAATTGTTTTGTGAAGCAACTAGTGACTGTCCACTCTTTTCCTTTGAGATGAAGGATACATCTGGGTTGTAGTCCTTTTTTTTCACTGCACTGAGTGAAATGTGCCCGGTTTTTTACGGTTGTGTATAAGGAATCTGTCCAGCGCCGACGACCATTCCTCGAGTTTTTCTCCGGCTTCATAATTTTCTGAGTAGCCCCCCACATGTTTGTGCGGGAGTGGCTTTTGAAGTCCCCCCCGCCCCCACGTATTAAAGCCGCGTGAGTGGCTGCTGGCAGAAGTGGTGATGGCCATTCCTTATCCGGGGGCTTTATAAACGTTGACGACCGTCACGCGACCAACCTGTGACAGTTATTGTCTCCGTGCCGTCACTTGTGGCGGTGGTGAACTTGCAAGCATAGTTCATTTTTAGGCCTTGCCTGGTAAAGGTGGCAAGGTCATGTCTAGGGTGGTAGATGGCAGCAACAATGGTGTAAATATTTAATATATAACTTGCCATCCGTGTGCTGTTCTCAACGTGTGGCTCCTGTAAGGCGACGACGTCAACGTTTTTCCGTCCCTTAGATTTCTGCCCAGGAAGTCACATTTAGGTCTGGATAGTCCTTCAGTGTTTTGTTGGTGCACTTCAAAGATCTCGTGTTGGAATCTCCAATAACAGTG